CTGGTGGTCACAATACACCCAGGTCTTTTATCCAGGAATATTCAGAGATCTGCCCTCAGCTCTCAATTTCTGCCTGGTATTATAAGTTCAGAGAATACAGATCCCATTTATGCCTGATACAGACACAGTGAGTAACAAAGCCACACGTAAAAGCAGGCTCCTGAAGAAGTCCATCACTCTTTACCAAACTAGAATTGCTGCGGAGCTACGTAGTTGTAATTTGTACTACCCCATCAAGCATCAAGTTGCCCTAAAGCTGCACTGCCCAGTCCTCAGACCCTAACCAGAGGAATTTTTTATTTTAAAGAAAAAGAAGTGTACTCTTGTGTGTCACTTACAGGCTGAACACCCTGTCTGCTGTTAGCTCAAAAGATCTGGCAATCAAAATAGAGCACAATCATGTCATGACAACTTGTGATTTCCAGTAGCTAAAACAATCATTCAGAACCACAGGCAGCTATAAATCCATAATGTGAACTGGCAAAATGCAGGCCAGCCCAAGATAAAGAAAATGCAAAACAGTCTGAGGAATGTATTTGCAGCTTTTCAGTGCTACAAGTAAGCATTTTGATCCACGTTTCTATATCTTATATGAATTCAAGATTGTGAAAGATCAGGTAATAGTTCCAGGTGGCCGTGTAGATTCCCAAAAAACTCACTCCAGGTACATTTCTGGTATTGGATCTATGTCCAGTTTTTTCTAGTGTGCTTAGGGAGGAGTTGTTCATCAGGTCTGTTCTCAGGCTAGAGCTAGGCTTCTACAGAGCCCTCTGTTGAAGTGCAACTAAGAGTCATTGCTAGAACCTTTTCCTAGAACCACATCTATAGGTGTTCAATTGCCATTTCTAGAGCACTCATCTGGAGATGAATCTTGCCAACTATGAAGCCCTTTCCCTGGTCTAAAGCCAGATCTTGAGGTCTTTTCTAGAGCTGGACTCAGCTTTGATTGCCCAGTCAATTTCTTGGAGCTCCAGCTACAAATTCTGGAACATTTTCAATAGCCCATCCTGACGCTGTTTTTTACGAAGGTCATTTTGAGGGTTTTACCTAAAAATTCCTTTAGAGAGGTGGATCTACAGCCCCTGCCTGGAGTGCATCACTAGAGCTAGAGCTACTAGAATTTACACATGCACTTGCTGGAACCAGAACCATTTCTGGTCTTTTCTAAAGCTGGCTCTGTAACCATTTCTGCAATAGATCTAGAAGCTGAGCTGGATGTGGTAAAATTTCTGAAGCCTGAACTGGAATCTTTTCCCAGACTGCCTTTTTCTGCATAGCCTCTGCAAACCAACATAGCTGTTCAATTGAGAATTCACTTTGAGAATGATGTGAATAATCAGACTAGTGACTAATACAGAGTATGAGAAAGGGAGAATTTTGAAAAAGACAAGCTAACAAAAAAGCAGTTGTACAACCTTCAGCCTATGAATTCTCTCTGTTCTTGTTATTCAAGAGTGTATTTAGAAGATAAAAAAAACTCTATAGACAGCTTCCTTCCAAAAATTTAAATATTTACTCATAATATTTCTCTTAATTTACATATCTACTATTAAAAATACGCACTGAGTTTTTATGAGTATCATCTTCAGTGGGTAAAAGCGACATGGATAACCAGAAAATACTCACCTTCAGAAAGGGCTACGTGTAAAATGAAATTTCTCCCAAACCATCATTCTCCTCCATTTCTACAGTATCTACGTGAAACATGCGGTACACAAGAGGCAGTACAGAAACACAAAGGGGCAGATGGTCACAGAGTAACACAGGGATGCAAAGAGAATCAATGAATGCTTCAAAACCGCAAACAGATCAGAGCAGCAGATTTAAATGTATTGAGCACAGCTGTATATTACAGGAACTAACACTTCCATACAGAAAAACTGTATTAGGCATTCAGATTCCACTTACAAAATCTGTATGCAAAGCCATGCTTTTCAAGTCAGTTGCCATAACTTTTTGCATTCTTTGATTGGTTAAGTAAAATTTAACTTTGTAGTTTTATCATAGAAGAAATTTCGTGCCATGGTTTGAAGAACACAAAACATAAAAGCTAACTTAAATAACATAAAGAATGCAAGTGTTACACATTCAATGCCTGATTCAGAATTATATATACATATATATATACACAGCTTTCCACTAATTAATACAGATACATCCACAAAATGTTCAGCATACCCAAAAAATTTAGACAAGTAGGTGTAAATACATAATATATGGAAAATAGTTATATGTTAAATATAAATGCATTCAGTGACCAAATAAAATCCGTGCAACTGTTCCACACTGGTCCTCATCAGTTTCAAACACGGTCTCCAGGACATTTTCTTCTCTTTTGTACCAATTATTACTTTGATATAATAGGTGTCTTTTATATCTTTCAGGGATACTCACTTCCCCCTTTCTCTTTCCCCACTCAATGTCAATTTTGGTGGTATTTATACATCACAAATCTCAATTTGCTTGTATCATTTCCTTCAGCATGGAAATCACGAACAGCAGACAATCCATCAAGCACTCTGAATGCTCAACTGACACTGCAATTAGTGACACCATGGCAGAAAACAAGTTCAAGAATGAAAGAAATTATAAATCTGAGTACACATGCCATTTGCTGCTTCTGTTTGAGTTCACCCAAGTAAAGGCAAGGAGGTAAGGGCTCTAAGAGCCCATTAGAACCCTATGGATCAAGGAACACCTATAAACCAGGGGAAATTTATTTTCTGAAGAATGGAACCTTACTAAGGGACACCTTTTCCCCTATTTTATTAGAACAGTGGCTCTAGAACAACTTCATAATTCCAACAGACTTTCCTCACCAAAACCGTATCTTTGCAATGGAAGAAAAGCTGCTGAAAGAGTACCAAACTGATGCCTTAAAGTTTATGTTAAAGGTATCTGAGTCGTTAAATCTAATGGAATTGCAGAGGGATGCAATCAAAAATGCAGTAATTTATCTGACTTACTCAATTTTTAATAGCTTTGAAAAACTGCCTTATTAAAATGCAGAAACTATGCAGTGAAAAAAGTAGCTGGTGTGTCAAAATGGTGCAAACCTTATCAAATATTTTAAACATATTAAATCAAATAAAGAGCCTAGCTGTATGGACCTCTCAATTTCCATGGCTTCAGTGGAAGAAGTGAACATGTGCATCAGCACATAAATCTGGCATTACTTTCTCGACAACTTGCTTTTAAAAAATTAAAAAATCTGAGACCAGTAGCAATTAATTTGAGTCATGCAAGGGAAAAGGAAAATACTAATTAACTGCTCTGACAGTACACTTTTGCGTGACAGGAAGAAAACTAACTGCTCCTTTTGACCTTCTTAAGGTCCAGTGAAAGGAAATGTGAAAACCTAATCCACTAATGGCTTTAGTGGAAAGTCAGACAGCAATGTTAGGTAACACTACCAACAGGGGAAATAAATCATACAGCAACTACCCTGGTTTTTTTGTCCTTTTCTTTCTTGCTTGTTTAGTGAGGCTGTGATGCAAGAGCTAAACCATTCATTTTGCAACATTTGACATGTTTGTCCCTGAATAAAACAAAGCCTATATGGCTGCATAAATCATCCTTTATATAAGGGTGGGCCTTTATAAACCAGGGTGGGCCATGGAAAGAAGAGATAAATTAGAAAATAAACTGATATGCTTTATGTCTACCCTTTTGCTTTTAAACTCCCACTTTATGAGTTGATTCTGAAAGTAAGGTAAAACCATGCCTTCCCCAGTTTCTTGTGTGCAAGTAGTCTATCACAGACAATCAATCCGATTTTAAAAACCACATTGTAGAAACACTGACTAGATAAAAATGCTCTTGAAACAAAGTCATCTTATCAGCAATTGGAAATGTTGTTTCTGATTGCCTGACTTCCGGGAATATAATATGGCATTATATAATTCCTTTCAAATCTGACGTATGACATGGCAAAGCAGTGAATATGATTGTGCATACAATCAGCAGTCTGATGACACCATCACTTCCAAGGCTGCATTCAATGCAAGACCAATTCTTCTACTGGCTAACACAGCTGTCACAGCTGGCCTGATGTTGCCAGAACGATACTTTTTGTTTGTTTGTAATTCATAGCTAATCCACACAATTATAATCGGGGTTGGCGGTTGGGCTTGATCATTTTATAGGTCTTTTTCAAACTTCACGGTTTGAAGATTCCAATAATGCACACAGTTTTCAAATGCTAGCAGGATTTTTAAAAATACATTTACCTAATTTGGAGTTTCCCCAGCTCAACTGTGTTGCAAGACAGGAAATGGCAAAAGAAATAAAGATGTAACTTCAGAAAGGGGGCTTTGTTGGAAAGAAACCTTGCATACTGTTGACATATAGTTTTAAAACCTATTATGCAGCTACAACAGATTCCACTTCAGCTCTTAGTCAGAGTCTGTAGTACACAGAACAATGAAGTGCTATAATGTCTCTCACTGACAAACATAATAAATTGATATTTGATTATTGATAAATATATTAGCTTGCTGGTGCAAGTTATTACAGCAGTACACAACAATACAAGTACTAAATATTTTGTGTAAGCCAGTCATACTCTAAGACAAATCTTGAAGCACCCCATTAAAAAAATTTTGCTACATAACTAGTAAATGCAAAGAGAACTCCAATGTATTTACAGCTTTTTTTTCTTTCTTTTTTTTTTTTTTTTTAAAGCAACTTTCAGAAAGAAACACCACTATATGTATAGGGGAAAATATTTGTACAAGCACTACCCATACCCGTGCTGAAGTATTACTGAATGTGGAGATCAGCACCTCACTTAATGAGTATTTTTGGCAAGCATGGTGAACGTGATGTCAGACAGATACAAGCATTAGGATCACACAGTTCAGTCCAAAGAGCAAACACTGGTAGAATGACATAAGAATCTCAAGTACATGCAAAAGAAGCCATTGCTGAGAAGCTTGAGTAAATGCAGAGGCCATCTTACAAGTAGCAGTAGCATACACAATGTTAACTCAACTGCTTACCCACTAAGTACACCAAGAACCAGGTTAAGTACGAAAAATGAGCCAAGGATGATAAGACTAACAAAATAGATCCATGGCCATTCACATCCTATTGCATCATTTACCTGTAAAACGTAAGGAAATAAGTTATGATTCAGTCATTCATTAAACAGCAGAGTCCTTTTTGCAGCTGCCAGATCACGTAGGTGTCAACACTGAAAGTTTTGCATTTATACAGTTCTTAAAACCAATTAATTTTTCTTTAATTTTATTACTCACCCAAATTATACCACAGATGTGATGCCTTAGAAGATGAATTAAAATATTTAATTAAGCGCAGGAAAATGTTCAGTTCTTTTTATACTTTTGCCATAAATATGGACACGAAGATATATATACTAGTATGTCTAACTGATTTTAGTGTTTCTTATCTTTTATGAAGGCTACATAAAACTGTTTCTGTTCTAATTAGAAAAAAAAAGAAATACTTATTAAAAAAAAAATCATGGCAACTCAAGTCTCACCTGTATGAAAACAACCTGTGTGTTCATGGCAACTGAATTCAGGACTCTGCCTTCATGATGAAAAAGGTGTATGCTTACCCGCTCAATACACCAAGAACAAGATTTAGTACGAAAAATGACCCAAAGATGACGAGACTGACAAAATACACCCATGGCAATTCAAATCCCATAGCATCATTCATCTGCAAGAAATAAGATGATCTTATAGAGTAGATCTCTATAGTAACAGGAACTAAGAGGCAGAGAAACAGAATTTAATCATTCAGGTGAGATAGCATTCTCTTCATTTTTCAGTACTTTGAGAAGGGGAACAGTACAAGAAAGAAGGCACTGGCCATGTTTAATTAGCATTCCTAATATGAACGTGAAAAGAAAGTACTGAGAGAACCTAGTTTTCAGACTAAAAACACTATCAAACATACAAATTGAGTATTGCAACAGTTCTATTCTCTAATGCCAAGAAAAGTACACCTTGGATTCCAAGTTAATTTACGCTTACTAGGACTGTTAGTTCACATATATCTTAGTAACATGAATGATCCTTTGAGAAAAGAAGTACTGAAATGCATTTCCACAGGACAAGTAATATATTTTTTTTCTGCAAAATGACATTTCAATTTTTTTTTTTTTTTTCCTGAAAAGCTACATCTGGATGCATTCAGATTTTTAAAAACATGAACAGAACTTTACACAAACGAAGAACTGAAATAAAATTTTATAAACATAACAGAAACGAGGAAATATCCCAGAAACACTTCAGAACCAAAATTACACCAAGATCAATGTTAAATGAAGTTTAAAAAGTGCTGTGGTTGCTGTTTTTTTTTGTTTTGTTGTGTTGTTGTTTTTTTTAAGTAAGGTTGAATTTCCTGAAGTTTAGATGCACTATTTATCAATTACACAAGTTTTTCTATAGAGACCTTCTCCAGTGCCTAATTTTAGTGAGCTCATTGCATCTGTGAGGTAGACTCAAAAAACTTATCCATGGATCCATGGACATCTTAGAACACTTGTTCAAAAAAAAAAAAAAAAAAAAAATCACATGTAAAACACAGGAAAATTGAATGTTTCCTGTAATTTTCAGATGCAAAAAGACATTTCAGTACGTTACAAACATAAATTCTGATTTATACCTTTTTGGAAATATTTCTCACATCTTATTTTTGCGTTAGATTCTTCTTTTTAGCCATGAGATTCAGGAGACTATAAGAACTCTGTGAGTACTTAAGACCAGATATGGTATTGTAGAACAATTTACAAGGAAACCCTCTTCCTTTCAAGTGAATGCTGTCCTCAGTCTGTTTGTTGCATCTGAAATTTGTGATCAGGCTTTGAGCTCTATAAAAGCTCAGCTTTAAACCCTGTCATTAACATCCTTGCTGAAATTGGCAGTTCCATATTACACAAAACCTTTTCAAATGGTATTTCTAATTTCATTCTTTCTATCTTTTAAAAATCAGTTTCAGTTTCTGCAAGGTGATGCAACGTACAGCTAAATGTAAGCACACACACTAAGTCTTTGCAGATTAAGGTCCGTAGGCACTTTTCTTCAATGGCGATCTGTCACAATGACACGTCACACTATCTAAATTGAGACTTCCAAAGTAACCAAAAGAAGATTCTTTTACTTAACTCCTTCACTTGTCCTCTAAAATAACTTCTGTGTACATCTACAGTTAAACTGTTCTAGAAATCAAGCTGAAATCCTGAGAAGCAACCTAGAATTACTTACTCGATAGCAAAATACTAATAATAGTAATAATAATTTTAAAATTGTGAAGTACGTATTTGATTTGGATATTTTCCTTTTAATTTCAATAAAATTAAGTTTTGGAGAAATTAAAATGGAGAAAGATTATAGCCAATCAGAAAGCCTGGAGCCATTGACTTCAATTCTAAAAGATCCCAGGTTTTCAATTGTAGGCATCTGACCTTTACTCAGGGATTTTTTTTTAAATGCATACCTTGTAGTTATTCTAATTTCAGAACTGACTTTACTTCATAGAAGTGATTCACAACACACAGATCAGGCAAAGTGTTTTTCTAATAATAGCTTGTAAGAATCAACGTTTTGATTAAATTTCACATGCATATGAATGCATTTTGCATCCAATTTAACTATACCACTAGTAAACAGCGTTTTGCAAGCCCCAGAGCTCAGAGTAAGGGCAGAAATTCATCTGGAGTTGATGCCAACAATTTCCTGCTATAAATTGTTTTGAAAAACTTGAAAGATGAATATGTGCAATTTCAGTTTGAGAAAAACAAAAGATCCAAGGAGAACAAAAGAGCTCTGGGAATCACTGGAACCCAACCTGATACACTCTTCCTCCTCAGAAAGAAGATGTATCCAAGAAGCAAGGCATTATGCTAGTTTGGTAAGCCAGGAGCAAAGATGAATTTCCAAGCTCTGTTACAAAGGTACACACGACTGTGGTTTGCTTCTCCTTAAATCACTTTAATGTGTGTAATATATGGAAAAAAAAAAAAGCCCATCTTATTTATGCAGTTTGATGTATAAGCCCAATATTTTAGGATAATCTATCTAGGACTAATGCCCTGTGATGTGACAGCTTGGAAACTGCAGCTAACCAGCATCAGAAGAAACGTTTTGGTTTGGGCAGATGATGAACTAATTTAAAGCATTCCTAACTCAAGAACCCTTAATCCACTAGAATACCTGGCATTAACTCTTAAAACCAACTACCTGAAACTGCATCTATTCAATAATTTCACCACTTAATTCTAGAGACAAATAAAGTCTATTCAGGTAATGCATCATAATTTGTATACATGAAGTAATATTTCTGATTGGATTAATACCAGAGATGAAAGCACGTAAGTAAGTCCTGTCTATCTGGAAAACTTGCTCATTTCATGCACATCTTGTGGCATTTTTCATAACTTCCATTTAAAGAAACATTAAAAGAGTCAATTTGTCTTGACTAATGATGGAGACAGAGCTTGGTTAATGCACAAAAATCCTCACAGACAAGGTTTTTCCAACTGAAAGGATTAATACTGACTTCTCACTCAAAAACTAGAAATAAGGAGTTACAGAGACACAAATTCCAGACTACTGGAAGTTGCAACTAAGAAACATAAGCAGTAAAAGCACCTCAAATAATGGTAAAATGACATCAGGAAATCCTGAAGCTATAAGGTCTCAAATCGTCAGCAAAAATCTTGTGGGACGCTCAGCCTCTGGTGTCTCGGAGGCATGACACAACAGAGAACGTGCCATATCTCATGGGTGCCAGTGGACTTGCCCCATCTCTTTTTGAATCCATTAAGATTTCAGCATCCGTAACACCTACTGCAAAGTCATTTGCCAAGTGACACTCTTCTTCCCCTTCTTTCTGCCTTTTTCCAACACTAGACTTAATGTTTTGATTTCAGTTCTAGTTTGTCCATCACATCACCCAGAGGACAGAGAAGATAATAAATGTTAAGAAGGACAGAGTGTTTTTCTTTTTCACTTAATTTGGTTTCACTGTAATGGAAAATGCACTATTATTCCATTAGGTAAGTCTTTAAAAATATCCTACAGAACACCACTGTTGGTATTTTCATCCTTTCATACAGACACTAGAACTAAAATCTGAAGCTGTTCCAATCCTTTTCATAAGTGACATAGGAGCAGCCTGAAGCCCCCATAATAGGATCCAGCTGTGGGCACTATCAGATCTGGAGACAAATTACTCTGTGCAAGTCCAATTGGTAGAGTCAAAATGTTCTTTGTATATTTCACTCTATATCAACATGCATATGCCTGAAAACTCTTTAAGCATTATCTTTAGTTGATGGGACAAACTTGGTACAGTCTGAAACTGCCTCATCTAGCATTTGGAGTGAATTGTTTTGTTAGCTGTGCTGTAATTGGAGTCAGCTATCATACCCTGCAGTGTAGCTGTTCAGGGATATCTCTGAAGTGAAATAGAGAGAGCAGGCCAAGTTTATAGCACAGATATAACCATCAGTGTTACACAGCGGTAGATAGCACATCCCAATCCAAAACATTAATTAGAAATCATTAAAATGTCTCACTTATCCTATCTGTGGTAACTGTAAAATCCCCACCTGCAACTGCATGCAGATCAAAGCCTTACTTTCCTGAAAAGCTGCCACTGGCTTATGTAAATCATTACAAGTTTCTTTGTATGTATTGATTAATCTAGCCCTAATTGGGGATAATGATAAAGCAGTGCAGTAACACCTCTAATTCTGCATTTGTCCTATTAGATACATACTCCACTGTTGCCTGAACCTGTTTTGAATTATTTTTCACACAATGTTTCTAAATCATTTGGTCTCTTCACTTCCTTAGTTTTCAATCTTACTTTTCTTCTTTCGTAACATTCTAATGGAGACATAATCTATGGGTTTACTTACAGCGACCTAGAACCTATCTAAACATTTTAAAAATTTAGACTGACAAACTTAGACTCTTGAAGGGTGTAAAATTCTCTCAGGAATCAGTATTCTGTTAAATGGGACTAGTCCTGCTCTCTTTGAAGCATATGCTGCAGGTTCACCTACCTCAGATCACAGACTATTTATTCTACTCACGTTCAAGTACAGTAGACAGCTTTTCAAAGCCT